TTGCAGAAATCTTTGAAAGGCATCCTTCAGGTTAACTACTTTAACATCTGAAGGATGAAGGATCTATATTCGACTGTACCGTGGCAAAAAAAACAAATAAATAAATAAAACTTGTTGAGTTGATTTAGGCCTTGCAACTAATTCACCACTATGATATATCGTTATGGTTTTTGCACTTATTGTAAGTCGCTTTGGATAAAAGCGTGAGCTAAATGATATGTAATGTAATCTTATTTATGGTTTAATTTAGCAGAAATCTTTGAAACACACCCTTCAGGTTAACTACTTCAACATCTGAAGCCACGATGTCTGCAACAGAAGTTTTGCCTTGTTGAAGTTTTGCCTGAATATTGACAGATTCCCCTCGAACATCAACACCTATTAGAGACACTGACCCCTCCTCAGACTGAGAAAACAGACTCCAGGGTGACCAGGGACTTCATTTCCCAGAAGCCCTTGCTCAGACGCTTAATGTAAGGCACATGTGTCAAACTCAAGGCCCGGGGGCCAAATCAGGCCCTTGGTGGATTTAATTTCGGCTCGCAGGATAATTTGTAATTACTATTCGATCTGGCCCGCCGGTATATTGCACCTTCACTCAATCCTGAGGGTCTCCTCAGCTCAGAGCCTGAGCCCAAACATTGATGACCTTGCACCCAAGATGAGATGCCAAGTATCTGGCTTGAACTAGCATCACAGAGCAGCAAACTGAGTTCACATGGATGTTTCCTTCTGCACTTTCTTTCTTGAGACAACAGGGCAGGTTTGGTTTTCTCTTTGAGGGAAATCGTTTTTTTGAGACTGTTGTTGGCCTGTGGGAAAATGTAATCATAAGAAATGACTGCAAGCTGCAGATAGAGCCATAAGAAATTAATGCAACTGATTATTTAATGTTTAATGTTGTTTTTATAGGCAATCATTTAAGCGTTGTTAGTTCCAGGTTTAATATGTGCAATAAGTTCATTTCAATAAGTTTTGCAATAAACATTGAACCATGTTGGCCCACTGTGTATTTGAGTTTGATACCCCTGCTCTAAGGGTACATTAGGCTCCTGAACGCCTCCTGAGGTTATTTATCTTCTGGAGATTTCTCAGCTTCATTAGGACTCGTATCAATGGCTCGACACCATGGCAACCTTTCCAGAGCGACGGCTTTAAAGCGCTCATTATGGATCCAATTACCTGCCACATTAGGGAATGAAGCGACGGGGGGCCAGCGGTGTGAGCATTAGTGAGACCAGACAGCTTTAATGGAATTTAAATGTAAAGATCTGAGGGCCTGCCGTCCCATACTGACGTCTACTGAGCGCGTCTAGGGATTTCATTTAGACGGAAAGCCTGAATACAAGTCGGAAACATTAACAGGTAACATGTGAGTTGATTTTACGGCTGCAAAATACATCAATATTTTATTGAAATCTCAATATGAACTTATGCAATGTCCAAATGGTAGTTAGGGTAATATTTGGTAAAGTGTTAATATGTGAACATATCTGATTAATACATTGTGGTTCTGCAGGAAAGCCTACAAATGCTTTTCTACTGACTCTAATATCGCGAATTTCGCGAATGCAATATCAGTCAATATAATTCTCTAATAAATCCCTTTCTCTCTCGAAAGAAGAAGTCAATATTTGTTCATTTTAAATCCAATTCTCAACATTATAACCGCCTTTACCACTGGACATAATGGATGTGGAAAAGTAATGGTCTTAAACATTTGGGTTGTGTTGTCTTTATTGTTGGTTACCAAAAGATTGTTGCAACCCAAGGAACACAATCTGGAAATATGGAAGCTTTTTGGTTTATATGAAGGTTAGTGGGACCTCAACAAGAGCCACCATGAATTGGAAATATGTTGGCAGATTTCTTCCAATTCTCTTCCACATTTTAACAAAAAAAACAATGAAAGGTAATTAATCAGTTTGTCTAATTATGGATCATTGCACATGTGTTAAGTTATGTATGGAAATAATACATCCGATCCATCAAGATGCATCTATATGAGGTGCTAAGAGATTAACCCCCTAACCTGCTCTTAGTAACTAAAATAAGAGGTAATTTATTGACATATTGGGAAATGTTTGCGTTGCAGCAGCATAAAAAACAACAAAACAAAACAAGGCATTGAACTAAGAAATCAAAGAGTAGAAATAAACAATACTAGAAATGAAACATCTCAAATTAGAATTAAAACAGCATTAAAAGTAGAAAATGAAAACTCTTTCATTAAAACACTATTGAAGGGCTTTAGACACAATAGATAGAAGGATATTATTTACATTAAAACTTGTTGTTATATTCCATGGAATGCTCTTAACATCCCGATAGCAATGAATATCTGAAGAGCTTTGACAAAAAATCCATACAAAAATATCATCTATGGAAGCTGTAGTACTGTAAAAAGCACGACCAATCATCTGAGCCGGCCCGGCTAAAATAACTGGATGGCCTACCTGCCTGTCAGCCTTCCATCGGGGCACAAACTTATCTCGTGCCCTCATTGGTCATGTGCACGTTCGTGTGTGTTGGAGGAGGGGCTCTGTAAGGAAGTGGCAGATTTTCTCCGGTTGTGTATTTTCAAATTCTAGCGATCTCGAGCCGGTTTCTCCAAAATTACCTACCCCACCTTTAAGTGTGTTAAATTCAAAATAAATGTGAAATGTACATGTGTGTCCAGTTATTATTAACTACGATAACATGTCTGACTGTGTATTGATTTACATTATATATTAGTTTTCACTCTCACTGGGACTCATTACAATACCAGTAAGTTCTTTAAGAGTCTTGATAGTCTTACACTTGACTCAGAGATGTTATATTACAGCAGTTTATGGTGAAATAACAATTACATGATCGGTAATTGTAATGAGTTTCAAGGTTACTGTGAGGGATTTTGTTAATCTCTCTGCTTTGAGGTCGGTAGATTAGTGCTGCAACTCATTTTTAGTTCTCCTAATGGTGTTGTTTTCTTGTAAATATCATGGGACTTGATCAGTATCTCTGGCTTCCTTCGGCCCAGTTTGAGCTCCTTCTGAAGGTGTGTGTGTGTGTGTGTGTGTGTGTGTGTGTGTGTGTGTGTGTGTGTGTGTGTGTGTGTGTGTGTGTGTGTGTGTGTGTGTGTGTGTGTGTGTGTGTGTGTGTGTGTGTGTGTGTGTGTGTGTGTGTGTGTGTGTGTGTGTGTGTGTGTGTGTGTGTGTGTTGTGTGTGTGTGTGTGTGGTGTGTGTGTGTGTGTGTGTGTGTGTGTGTGTGTGTGTGTGTGTTGTGTGGTGTGGCTGCAGGCAGTCCTTATCGTACGTCATCCTGTAGCCTTTTAGCTTTGGGTCTGCTGCTCCTTCAGGCACAACGCTCTGACATTTCACAGAAGACACTCTGTTCATTGATCAGGAAGGAAGGAACATTCACAGATCACAGTTTGACCATTTTTACTGGTGCAACTTCAAACCAGAGTTAAATGCCATAAATGATATGTCTGGGTTGGTCAGGACATTTAAACTTTCATCACTGCTGATTGTTCTTTTTTTAAATATCTTAAAGAGGCGGGTGGCCCAAAGTCGGAGAGAGCTGTGATCTGTATTTCAAGGGTGTGTAGTACAGAAGGAGATTATTACTGGATAGCAACTACAGCACGGTCACATGACTTCACGTCACCACCGCTAAGCTAATGTTGGGCTATAAAGGTACTACAGCACGGTCACATGACTTCACGTGACCACCGCTAAGCTAAAGGTGGCTAATGTTTGGCGTGACAACGTTTAGTCGTCTCATTTAGACACTCGTTATCAACCAACATTTTTTAATTCACCAGTGGGTTATTTACTGATGTATTTTATGTCGTAGAACAAAACATTTAAATCTCTTCAGCTTTTGTTAATCACAGACCTTATTTCAGGCTAACCAAAAACACATTCAGAAAACCATTGACTTCCAGATGAGGGAACAGGAAGTGCTAATGTGCTGATGTTTTGTGTTTCTTAAATTTCAGTGCACATTGGAGTTGCAATCGAACGAATGAATATTATTGACCTTGCCGGAGTAAACTAGTCCAAAACCCAGACGGTTTATTTTTCCTCCTTTGTGATTTTAACAAAAGCCCAAGTTCTTTATAAATGTCAGTGAACACAGCACAGTCAGAGTCTCTTTAGTGCAGTCTGCAGTCTCCTTATGCTCCACTGGTAATCGTTCCTGCTGTGACTTTAACTTATTCACCCCACACATGACTCAACACTTTTATTGACTCAGACGCTGCTGCTGGTCATAGTAATTCATGTCAGTCAATACGAGATGACCTATTATCCCAGCAGTGTGTTGAATCTAGAGTAAGTTTGGATTGTAGGGAGATAGGGTTGGAATAAAGATGTGTATGTAAAACACGTCAGTAAATACCTCACTGGTGAATTTAAAAACGGAGGTTGATAATAAGTGTCTAAATGAGACGACTAACCGTCATCACGCCCAACATTAGCCACCTTTAGCTTAGCGGTGGTGACGTGAAGTCATGTGACCGTGCTGTAGTTCCTTTATAGCCCAACATTAGCCGCCTTTAGCTTAGCGGTGGTGACGTGAAGTCATGTGACCGTGCTGTAGTTCCTTTATAGCCCAACATTAGCCGCCTTTAGCTTAGCGGTGGTGACGTGAAGTCATGTGACCGTGCTGTAGTTCCTTTATAGCCCAACATTAAATGCTGCCTTCAACTTCCCTCCACCACTATATTTGTGGTCCACCTTCCCTTTTATCAGATGAAAGTGTTGATATTGATCTCTTCTGCTAGAGATTTTACGAAGTTAGTTTGAAGGTCCATCAATTCTTCAATGTTTTCTCTGTCAAGTAGGACAGTTTGTCCTCTCAAGTCTTTTCATTTTCATCACAATCTTCCTGTCTCTGTGCTCCTTGCAGCCTCCATCCGATGCACATTATCTTCAGTTTGACCTGATGGTAGCAGTTTAAGATAAAGTCAGTGTAACCTCTGCTAATAATCATGTTTTCCTCTGTTTTGCAGGAGTTTGTGGCTGCTGTGGGCCGCTGAGGCCGAGGTACAAACGCCTGGTGGACAACATCTTCCCTGAGGACCCCAAAGTGAGTCACCTTCACATTAAATCAAGGTTATTATAATCAAGATACCGGGCCAATATGTAAACTATGACTTCTAAGACTCAATTGTTCTCTAACAGCCACCATACCTTTGAATAAAGTAGACAATGGTCCCATTTTTCAATAAGAGGTGAATAAATACCTGCTTCTTGCTAATCTTGATGGGAAATATAGTGGAATCGGCACTAAATATTCATTAATGTCAATAAAGAAATGTCCTTAAAGCTGCTCTAATCAACATTTTATTAGATAGAAGTTGATATATATTGTGAAGTGGGATGTTAGTGATTGTCGTGGCTTCCTTTCTTGCTTTCTATCCAAGCCACTTTGGCGCCTTTACAGACATTTCTAAATATAAACTGTAACACTTTTTACACATTAAACAAAGAAAACAGGCCTTTACAATAGTCAAAACAAATCAAACAAAAGAGCAAAACTCAAATAAAATAACAATTTTGCGATATTTGTTTTTAAGCGACCCAACGGAAGTTTATTGTAAAATGCGGCCATATCTCCGGCTAGGAAGGTCGCATCAACGTGCTCCCGTCTCTAGCACCCCCGCAGCCCAAGCTACGAGGGAAAGAACTAAACTTACATGAAACTTCCGTTGGGTTGCTTTAAAGTCAAGCTTCAGTTTAAAGGGGACCTATCATGCAAAATTAAGCCTAATTTCAGAGTGTCAGCGCCATGACAGCTCCGACAGTTTATCAATTCCACCGAGTCGTAATTTTGACGTTTCGGTGACGAGATGACAGGAAATGAGGGATGGCGAGGGGCGGAATAATGTTTCCCTTCCCGACCTCGAGCTGTCACCTGGCTGCAGAGCTGATATCGATTTTATACCTTGAATAATGGAGCGAGACACAGGAAGGTTTATATCTCTGCAGGAGGTTTTATTCTCATCATCAGGTTTTACAGCCTGCCGGGAATAGGAAGTTGTTTCAACAGAGCTTTCTTTCTTTGTGTGTTAGCTCTTTTAAGTCACTTTAATATGCACTATTCTATTCTATTTTATTTCTATTTACTTGCACTATTTTAACAATTGTATCCGTTGTATTGTGTTGCACTGTTGGAGGAGCCTGTGACCTCAGATTTTCATTGACATATCTACACTGTAGCTATGTAGAAATGACTATAAAAGCCTTGAAACCTTGAACACTTTTTTAGAATAGCTTTGATGTGATTTTTATTTAAAGGGGACCTATCATGCAAAATGCACTTGTGTACGTCTTTTCTACATGAATATGTGTCCCCGGTGTTCCAGGGAACTCACCAAGTGTCAGAAAACACAACCCTCTCTATTTTCCTCCATACCCAAATCTCTAAAAAAGGGGCTGCAACGGATCTGATAAAAACTGATCCAGATTTGAACACTGTCCTGACGTCAGGACGGTGGCGCTACAGCTATTGGGCCAACTCCACCAATCAGGAGGAGACAGCCACGGCCATTGCCGTTCGAAAGCGCTGGAGACGCTGTAGTACATATGCCAGGCCTGTAGATGGTGCTGTTCTCACAGAATCAGCCCTTGCAAAAACAGAGCTAAAAAATGTCAAATTGAGCAAAATGAGGCATGGCTAAATTGGTATTTAAAAAAAAAAAAAAAAAAAAAAAAAAAATATGCCTTATATAGGTATGGTCCTACACTATATTATTCAAATATAGCATGATAGGTCCACTTTAAGATCCACCCTGTAATAGATGTAGAACATGTGATGGAGCATTACTAACCTGACTCAGATGGTTTGTTTCACCATCAGGAAAGCTCCATTGGAAGCCATTTGGAAAAGTATTTCAAAAATACTTGGCAGGTGATTGGATCAATCTGTCTATCACCTACTATCATGGGCCACTTCTGATTGGTTAACAATGACTGGTACATGTGGAGCACAGCACTTCTGATTGGTGTGGATGACTGACACACAAGAAGAACAAAAAATAAAAATAAATACAAATAAAATAATTCTTTTTTTAAATCGCAGGCTTTGCGATTTGATAATTGCATCATTTAAAATCGCGATTTCGATTTAAAATCGATTAATCGTTCAGCCCTAACTTAAACGGTTAAATAATGTGCACTTTAGTAACAGGGCTGAAATAGAGGGGTATAAGATAAGATTTACTATAATAAGAGATAAGAGTACTTTATTGATCCCTTCATCATATAGACATGTTTTGTTATATATCCAAGACCTATAATATTTGCCTAAAAGTTAAGACTAAACTAAGAATTTGCACTAAAAACACTTATGTATATAAATATGTATATAAACCTTAGAAGTTAAAGTGAGAATGTGCACTATACATGAGAGTAACACATGCGTCACTTCCGGGCAAAAATTACAGCTCCGCCCACTTTTGGGGGAAAACAACGCTTTCATTTGAATGGCGGTCAATACAAATTCTGAAGTTTTTGCCAATCTGATCAGACATTTAAGAAAACCGTGGATTTTTGGATCTTCAAAGAGCCCGATTACGATGGCCAAACAATTACATGAAATCATTGGAAATCGGCGATCGGGCTCAATATATGGTTAAATATAGCAGTAGGCGATCGAATGTCCATAGATGAGAGTAACATTTATGTCATGAGAGTAACAGCTGGCGAAATTACGGCCTCGCCTACTGATTTTAATTTAACCATATATCGAGCCCGATCTCCAATGATTTAATGTAATTGTTTGCCTGTCTGGCCATCGTAACCGGGCTCTTTGAAGATCCAAAAATCCACGGTTTTCAAACATTTCTGATCGGATTGGCAAAAGCTTCAGAATTTGTATTGACCGCCATTCAAATGACAGCGTTGTTTTCCCCCTAAAGTGGGCGAGACCGTAATTTTCGCCCCGGAAGTGACGTTGGTGTTACTCTCATCTATATAGACATGTTTCTTTATATATCTGAGACCTATAATATATAATATATAGTAAAATAGGAGACCTTTAAGCCAGAAAGATGTCTGAGTGTCTCTGCTGCTGCATTATGTTGTTACTCAGTGTTTGGACCATCAGTGAAACCTCCACCTCCGGAGAGATTTCCAGACTCAACACGGAGATAATTAGACCCCCGAGCCTCGAGATGAGTCATTTTATTAAACACGACACGGCTTTGATAACACGACAAGTTTATTATCATGCGTTTGATTCCTCGACCCCTGGTAATTCATCTGCTAATTGAGTACATAAGTTGGACTACACACGAGGGAGGGGTTTATTTTCCTCTCATCCTCACCACAATATGCTCTCAAGGGAAATGGAAATGGTCGAGACCTTGTCATTTAATTATGAGCTGAATGTGTCTCGGGGGAGGGTTTCTTTCCAATGAACCCCCCCCCCCTCTTTATGTTAGACACCTGCTGATGATAGATGTATATGTTCCGTCTGTTGTGATATCCAATAGGAGCCTGAAGTCACACCGAGGCCTTTAAAACGTTCCCATGAAGTCAATTAATCTAGCAAGAAGTGCCTTTTTGTTGTGTTGGAATAAAGCCAGCACCATTTGGATCAGAATAAGAAGATATTATTTATCCTGGCAGAAATACGTTTTTGTGACAATTTCTTAATTTTCGAAATAAAATTAAGAAAGATATATATAAAAGATTTATATAAACAAAATATAAAAAATATTAATAAGAGGTTAAAAGAAGAATTTGCAGTAAAAAAATCTAAATAAAATAAAGATATGTATATAGAAACATAAAAGGTTAAAGGGGACCTATCATGCAAAATGCACTTTGTGATGTCTTTTATTCATCACCATGTGTCCCCGGTGTGTCCCCGGTGTGTCGGGGAACTCACGCAGCGTCAGAAAATAAAACCCTCTCTCTTTTCCTCCGTACCCAAATCTCTAAAAACGGGGGAACAACGGAGCTGATCCAGATTTGCGTCCGATATGACGTAATATCTGAAATGTGGACCCACAGCCCTATCAGAAACGTTGCTATCAGAAACAATGCCCGACTGTTTTGGACGTAATATGGTGGGTGTTTACATTAGCATCGCTAACACTCAGAGCTAACCTGTACTGGAGGGCATGTGTGTGAAGAAGCAGGAAATAAAAAGGAACTCACCTTGTGGTATAACCGGCAAGAGAGAAAGCCTTTGAGCTCCATACTGTTTCAGAGAGAATCCTTGATAATCCATGATATGGCGTTTCATCACGGCAGTATTTAGTTTAGACAGTAGCTGCCGGGTCCCGCATGAGCTCAGACCCCTCCTTTTTTATTTTATCAGTTTTTATTTTTTAAAGCTTTATACCCCAAATCAGCACTTTTGAAACAGGAAGTGAAATAGAGGGATATGAGGCATGGCTAGAATGGGTGATCTGTTTGGTATTTTGAGCAAAACACTTCATAGACATGTTTTTTATATATTTGTATATATCTGAGACCTATGCTATTGCCTAACAATAGCATGATAGGTGACCTTTAAAGTAAAATGTCCAATAAAACAAATTAAATAGAATACACATATGTTTATAAACTTTAGAAGTTAAAGTAAGTCTTTGCAGTGAAAAGATAAAATAGAAAATGTATTTATCTACTTTGATTCCCTGCAAAGTTTCAGGAAATGGAGACGGTTTAACACTAGAACCGCCAGAGATTTTTTATACCTAAAACCGCCACCTGGGTCAAATTGACCCGCTACTAGAATGCATTGATTTTCAAGGTAAAATGTTCTTTTATTGAACAGTGAGTTTTGATCGCACAGGGATGAAACGTATACCAATATAATCTGTGGACTCTCAGGGCTCGACATTATAAATGGCCCGCTGGGCCGGAAGCATTATTTAGACCCCGCGGATAGCATAACGTACTTTCAACTCGCCCCACAGCTGTTTGCTGCGGAGCGCAGCGCGAGCAGTCTCCCGTGAGCGGGAGCGCACTCCTTCACTACAGACTGTCTCTATCTCTCTCTCTCTCTCTATCTATAACTATCTATCAATATATCTATCCATCTATCTCTCTCTCTCTCAATCTATCTCTCAATCTATAAGGAACCGCAGTAGACAAAAGGCGTTGCTATAGCAACACGTCATGTTTATATGAAAAGGGGTGGGGTCAATATGACCCGCTGGGCGGAAATAGGTATAAATGGCAATTTTTTTGGGCGATTTCTTTAATCTGACTTCATATTGACAATTTTTAACAACATAGGGTGCTACATAACACACTTTCAGGAAAAGTCACGGACTGGAAGACTTTAATATTTTATTGAAAAAAAGTTACACACAATAAAAAACAGCTCTGGGTCAAATTGACCCGATTGGCGGTTCTAGTGTTAATCTCTGTTTCTCTGCAGGATGGCCTGAGTAAATCTGACATGGAGAAACTCACCTTCTACGCCGTCTCTGCTCCGGAGAAGTTGGACCGGATCGGAGCGTACCTCGCCGAGAAGCTGAGCCGAGACGTGGTGCGACACCGATACGGGTCAGTTTCTTATTTTATTTAAATAATATCCTGCTTATATTGTGTTGACAGAAAAGTGTCTGTCTTTGGCTCTTTTCTGCTGTAACAAATGTCAATTCCCCCTCTGTGGGACGAATAAAGGGATTCTGATTCTGATTGGTTGTTCAGGAACGTGGTGATCGCCATGGAGGCTCTGGACCAACTGCTGATGGCCTGCCACTCTCAGAGCATCAAACCCTTCGTGGAGAGTTTCCTGCACATGGTGGCCAAACTGCTGGAGTCCAGAGAGCCGGACCTGCAGGTGCTGGGGACAAACTCGGTAAGACCTCACCTGCAATAAGACCTCACCTGCAATAAGACCTCACCTGCAAAAAGACCTCACCTGCAATAAGACCTCACCTGCAATAAGACCTCACCTGTAGGAGGAGACTTTTTAATCCTGAACGAGCCAACACTCAGCTGTGTGCGTCACTCTTTAGTGTCCCCTGGTCTCCAGCTGTGTGCGTCACTCTTTAGTGTCCCCTGGTCTCCCTGCTGTGTGCGTCACTCTTTAGTGTCCCCTGGTCTCCCAGCTGTGTGCGTCACTCTTTAGTGTCCCCTGGTCTCCCAGCTGTGTGCTCACACTCACACTCACTCATACACACTCACACTCACACACACTCATCAGTCTCCAGCAGCCCAGAGGTGTGTGTCGGTGGTTAAATACCTCATTTAACTTTAACTGACAGTGGAAATGGACCTTTACCAAACTCTGTGAAATTACCATTAGCCTCTTAAAAGCCCCGCCGGCAAAATGTCAGCCGATTTCTCTTTTTTTTCGCACGTCTTCTGAAGGTTATCTCCAAGTTTTTATTTGCCTCTCCATGCCTGTCGTCCTTGCTGTTGTTGGAGGTTAATCTGAGCAGGAAACAGAGGTGTGAAGCTCTGCATTATTGATGTGTGGTATTTAGAGGAGAAGGGGAGGAGGTGAGAAACAGGAATAGGTGTTTTTATGTTGATTTTGGTTTGGCTGCACGGTACATTTCTCATTTAAAGACAATATTTTAACGTAACGACCTGTAAAGACACAGATTCTTTACTGAAATGTCTTTGTGGATTAGTAAGAAATACCTCACTGAAGTAAAGGTAGAAATACTATGGTCTTAAAATACTTAAATCTTAAATAGAAAATGTTACTGAAGTAGAAGTATGATGAGCAAAGCGTTCTTCAAGTATCACAATTACAATTATTCAATCCAATTTATTTAAGTCACTATTCTGGAAGAGTATGAAAAGAAAACAAGTTTGAATTAATCAATGGATAGATGCTAGATGCTAGATATTTACTTTATTAATCCCACATTGGGAAATGATGTTGTTCCAGCAGCAGTGTCAAGCTTTAACAAGTTACAAATGTATATTTTTAAAATTAACATTATTGGCAAATCTGTAAGAATACAAATGTAAAATGTGACACATTTACTAGCTGCAAGCAGCCGCGGCGTTATGGGTGGGCCTACTGGGCCTAGGCCCACCCACTCTGTCACTGGGCCCACCCATTCATTGATAAAAAATGACTGGGCGAAAATATAGTTTCCAACATTTTTATTTTTGATTATCAAAACTAACGATTACATAATAAAATAAGAGCAAACATGTGTTTCCCTTTAAAAAAACTTAGAAAATTAAAAGCAACATGAATTAATGTAATCGGGCAACGTAAAATGTGAATTTGGACCGAACTCATAGTGGAAGCGCGGGAGCAAACACATCGTAGAACGTCTCGCGGGCGCGCGCAGATGAAGGAGGACAGTGGACTGGACAGACACAAAAAATATACCGCACTCACTAACGATGTCACAACAATAGATGTTCAGTTTTTCATTTGAAAGAGTAAGAAGAGTCATCCTCACAGCAGGTGCCGCCTTAGAGAGACGAGAGTGTGTTTAATGTTGTGCCCCGCTGAGCTCAGTCCCTCTGCGGGACGTAGCACCCGTTGCAGGTCAACAGAAAATAGCATCCCAGTGCCGGACCTCTCAGCCATAGATGACCCGGCGGCTACACAGCCAAAGCTCATAAAGTACCCTCAGACACTTTTCGGACAAAAGAAAAGGAGCTCCGCTGCCCACTGGTATGTCAAGAACACATTCTTGGAGTATAGCATTAGCAAGGACAGTGTGTTTTGTAAAATATGCCGGCATTTTAGTGAGAGGCGGGGCCGGCGGAGAAGATACATTCAGTCGCCATGGTTACAGGGACTGGAAACACATCGACTATGCTCTCAGTAAACACGAATGCAGCGCAGCTCATGCAATAGCTATGGAGAGAAATACAAACTACAGACAGTGCGAGAAGTCTGACCATGGAACCATCCTCCATCAGCTACTCAACCCAGAGGGCCGACAGGGAGAGATCATTGAGAAAAATCGGGAACACGTAAAGTTTTACCGGACATAATTGTCACGTGTGCAAAGCAAGAGATTCCTCATTTCATATTGAGACTAAATATCTAGGAAAATTATTAAGAAACGTAGAGCTAAAATGTGGTGCCATTTGCAACTACCAGAGCGCACCCAGACGCGGCAGGCATTCTCCAGCCCACATCAGCAAAGCTTATGAGTGTGAAGCAACAGTATCTGCTGCCCAGCTGCTTTAGTATGAAACGTATACTTCAGCTCATGAAAGCTCTGCAGTATCAGAAGGAAGTGGCCTAATGATAAATCTGCAGCCTCTGAAAAGTGCCGCGTCAGAGAACCAGTGCCTTTTGCGCACGGCCGCTCACTTCGCTAGATCCGCTAAAGGACAGCAGGCTGCGGTCTTACCACACAGACACACATCAGGTGCTCGCTCATTATTCCATATTCTGCCGTTGTATGCTCTTTGTTTCTAAACGTATCAATGTATTGTGAACCAAAACTAAATAACATGCAGTATAACATTTATTTTCACTCATTGCGGCGTGCCGTTTAATCATTTAAATAATATTTAAGCTTCTCATAAGTGAAAATGTTTAAAAGAGAAGGGTTTTGAAAAAGTGTCTTTACTATAGGAAATATGCATTACACAGTTGCCTACAATGATATGCAGGCATTTATTTTTATTACATTTTTGTTAACGAGAAACATCTATTAGAACAGGCCCAGCCGAAATTACATTGGCCCACCCACAATTGAAATCCTGGCGCCGCGGCTGGCTGCAAGTATATACAAATTCACAATAGAAAGGACAAATATATACCTAGAGCTGCGGTCTCCAACCTTTTTTAGGTTTAGCACATTTTAACATTATGACATGCTGACCTTTAACCTTTGTGTGCTGTTTGGGTCTGTGGGACCCGTTTGCAGTGTTTACTAAAAGAACATGTATGCAATTTAATTATTTTAACCTGCTTTATTTGGGGGGGGGGGGACCTCACCTCCTCCAGGGGGGTCCTCACCTCCTCTAGGGGGGACCTCACCTCCTCTAGGGGGGTCCTCACCTCCTCTAGGGGGGACCTCACATCCTCTAGGGGGGACCTCACCTCCTCTAGGGGGGACCTCACATCCTCTAGGGGGGTCCTCACCTCCTCTAGGGGGGTCCTCACCTCCTCTAGGGGGGACCTCACATCCTCTAGGGGGGACCTCACATCCTCTAGGGGGGTCCTCACCTCCTCTAGGGGGGTCCTCACCTCCTCTAGGGGGTCCGGGGGCATGCATCAATCTGCTGCACTTTGAGCCCCAGATGAATGTATGGATACAGCTCTCAGCACTCAGATGAAAGGGAGCTTCTATACTTTTCAATAATCCAAACATCTTTAGAATATGATCACAACCAATAACAAATCATTTAAACTGGTTTATTCTGATCTGATGTTTCCTAGTTAGCATTCTTTCTTTCTATGTATGCTTATTTTACTAATCACTCCCCTTTCAAACTGTTATTTTTTTTTACTGTCCTATACAGTACACATTGACCCAACTCGACCCTAACGCCGCTCACAGCCGGCCAACTAAACGTTGTTCCGTTCACGTTGTCATTTTTAGACTCCTTCGCTTCTTTGCTCGTGAATCCAAAGGCTTGGCTGTTTTCGTTTCGCCATATTTTTTATTACAAAGCCAGAGTTAAAAAAATATCAGTATGAAAATGTCAAATACCGCGCCGGCATCGCCGCCGTAACCATAGCAACGTAAGTAGCGTAAAGAATGCAGCGCCGCCACGTACAGATGGCAACACCCAGAAATATTCACAAATATAAAACAAATATTCAGAAACTTTAATGAACAATAACTATTATTTATTTACAGAAACTCAACATTTCTAATCTGTGTGACACGAATATATAGAAATATACTACAGACACACATTGGCATTGGATTGAATGCATTATCATTGTGCAAAATAGCTGTAGTGAAGAGTAAACACTACAATAATGTAGTGTTTAGATATTGAATTAAATTGTGTCTGTTGTGTGAAAGAAACTCCTCTTTAATAAATATAATGCAGACTTAGCAGTCGACAAGATCGAGTTCCAGATTCAACTTTTGTGATATTTAACTTCTCTAACAGACGAACAGAGAACCTTGTGGGTGGAGGTGATCAATCATTCTGTAAATATTATACACAGGTTTTCTAATCAATCTGACGGTGACATTTCATTAGAAACAAGCTCCATTTTTCAGTTTTTCAGAACAGAACAGCTTTTTCTATTTGTACCCGGCATGTGTTGGTGTTCCTCTGCTAACTTCATCTCTGGGAATTGGCAGAAGTGTCTCTTCTCCCTGCGTCTCAGTGGAAGAGACACTCATCCGTCCACATGAAGACACTGAGTCACCCTCTCAGGGGACGGTATTTATAGCCTGTGGACCAAAGATAAATCTGTCCGTCTGTTCAACCTCCTTCACTCGTTCTGGATCAAACAGAGTTCATGGGCAGTGACTCAATGTCTGCCAGCTCATAGAGGCCTGTTGTGAACATGGACATGTTGAGGACCCCAAAGTGTTATGTTAGAAATGTAAAGTGTGGTGGAATTTAACCAATAGAAACAAAAAAAAAGATTATGAAATGGTGAGGAAACCTTTCTGTTATACTCAAATGAAGATACTTAAAGTGGACCTATCATGCTATATTTGAATAATATAGTGTAGGGCCATACCTATATGAGGCATATTTATACTTTTTTTTTTTCAAAATACCAAACAGATCATGCATTTTAGCCATGCCTCATTTTGCTCAATTTGAAAAATGTTACCCCTGTTTTAGCAAGGGCAGATTCAGTGAGAACAGCACCACCTACAGGCCTGGCATATGTACTACAGTGTCTCCAGCGCTTTCGAACGGCAATGGCCGTGGCTGTCTCCTCCT